CCCCCCCCTCCCCCTCTCTCTCTCTCTCTCTCTCTCTCTCTCCTGCAGCACGTTCTGCCTTCCTCTCGACAAGTCTCTCCTTCTTTCCTTCTCTTCCCTCCCTTCCTGCGATAACGTAATTCTGCAAAATGGCCACTACGACTAGCTCCAGCTGTCTAATTCGAGTATTATTCGCGGGGGTGTAACGAACGAGGGATTGTCAACGAGAGGGGTTCGAGCGAGGGAGGCACGTAAACGCGACACGCGCCATTCTCACGCCGCTCGACTCGGCGCCGGCATTAAGGGGAACAGGTCTCTCCTGCGAGTCCCGTCAAGCGACACCGCCACGCTGATTGCGAACGCGGCGTCTGTTCTTTAACCGTTAATTACTACGTTACGTGTATTAGTGAGGAGGCTAATTTAGGCGGTAATACCTCGCTTGTGTAACCGAAATTGCTAATTTCGTTTGCAAGATGTTTTGACGTGCCGCGTTTAGCTGTGTCGTGACTCGGATCGTACATTCGCAATCGGAGTAAAAACCTGGGAAACTGTCGTGATCTTTCTTCTCTTTTACTAGATCTTTTCTCGCGATGCGTAATTAACATTTTGAACAATTGAGTTTGGATTTTATTTCGAAGTTATACCTAACATGATATATAATCGCCAGTTATGAGTCATTTCGTCAGAAACAGTCGTTTAGATCGTCAGGATTTGATTACTCATTTCCCTTAGGTGGAGATATATTAGGTACATAAAGCCCTATTCAAGTTTCGTCACATCGAATTTTGTTAGATTTTTAAGTTCACTTTGTTCAAGCATCACAAAAGTATTCAATGAAATAAAAAAGAAATAAAAAAGAAGAGAATCTTACATGTAAAATATGTTTCAAGAATGCATATTAAACGTTCTTTAGAAATATCCATTTATTCTTCAAAAATTTGCTTAATCACATTAAAAATGGTATTCTGTTTGATTCTTCAGGAAATATTTATTTTTCCGTAAGTTTCACGTTGCCTGACAAGACAGCTGCAGTTCTTGAATAAATTTTTAATTTGAAGAGTGTTTTGCTATTATTAATGAACAGTTTCATTGTTAATTTTAATTTTATACTTCTATTCACATTTTTATGCTTGTTTATTAAAATATATTCTTTATTTCTTAACGTATAGTTTATACTTTCTTTGTGAAGCATGTCGACTGAAAATTTTTATGTTATTTGTTACATTGTATTGTTATTGTTATATGTTGTATGATACATGTGTCCATAGTCTTTGACTTATGTCTGAAATGTTGGAATACAAAATAATTGCCGAGTCCAACATATCTTGATATTATTTTAAAAAATAAATATATATAATTGTTTGTAATAATCTGATTTTTTATCGTGTATTGAATAATTGATTGCATGTGATTGTGTTTTATATTTATTTAATAATTTAAAGAGCTTTCTTTGTTATCATAATGTTTCTCTTATTTTGCAATAGTTTATCTTCGGCCAAACCGATTGTCATATTATCTCCTAAGCTTTAGCTGTTAAAAATCTGGGGATTAAAATTGAAACTTCAGAAAATTCAAACAATTCTATATGTTGATTTTTAAAACATTTGCAGCTGCAATTTGTAACTATGTCATTCTGAGACATGCTAAGAAATTATAGAGCAATTGTCTTATCAGACTGGCAACAATTTTTTTTCGCGACTGGTAAGCTTTTACGAGCAATCTATTTCTGGGTGTTTCCGAAAGCGGACGCAACTGGGTAATCCGGGACACCTTGTATATATACACGTATACCATAACGGTTATTACAGTACTAAGTAATTAATGAGGATACAATTAACGAAAAGAAGGCCGGTTGGCATGTAAGAATTTCTGATGCGGAGAAAAAGGGAATAATCATATCCTGCCCAAAAGAAGTAATTATTTAAGCAAATCTCACGAACCGTAAAATGATATAAAACCGTAAAATGCGCGATATTTTTTAACATGTGGTCGTAAAATTACAATTATAAAAAATAATATTTAATACACTATATTAATTTCGTTTTACATTTTCTTTTAATGTATTTCTTCATGTATTTGGAAATATTTGCCAATTAAATTAATTTAAATTTAATTAAAAACAACTATAATATGATTTCGAAGTAGACCTTGAGAATACTATGAAATTGCAATTCAATACCATCATGTAAATGTAAGGAGATACTTGCGGTAGAGTAATAGCGGCAGAGAGTCTTATCCAAGTCTTATTAAATGGAATAACATTTTCCATAACGTGAACCGATATTTATGGCTGTTATTTAAGCGAGAAGGAAGGAAGTTAAGGCATTTCATGGATTTGCGAAAATAGAATGTGAAAATACATCAGGCATCAAATGCTATTTATAGCTCTCTGTTAGAAGTCACAGGCTGCAGCATCTGTGTTCAGTTTAAATTCTCTGTGTCTAGCAATGTTGTAATATGTACCTGACTTTTTTCATTTTCGGCAATATCGCAGCCGCGGAAATTTGCACATGTTAAACGACATTGAAATATATAATAATTCACACTTTTACCGTACGGTTAGTCTGTTATTAGAAGATTACTAGGGGCGTTAAGTATCTAGGAAGATCGTGATTAAACAAGCACGTTTTTTTCCTATATTTGATTTGGATACTATTTGAAAATATATTGAAAATTAATTTCTTCTAACAAGTTATAAATTATGTGATATTAAATTTATT